AGGATTTTTCCCCTTTTTTCTGGCAACAAACTGAAACCTTTTAAAAGGATCATGTCTGCATTAACCACAATACTTGCAGTCAAAATGCAACAACAAAACACACTATGATAATATATGCATTGTCCTTGAAACTGATTGGTCCACACAAGGAACGGCTTTTTAAATCCTTATATTAAGTTCACTTGCGTGCTTGCTTGCGCGCTTACGACCGTGCAAATCTTTCGGTCGTTTTTTAACCCACTTCCCGTGATCCAATCGAGCTGACATTTTGCACACAGACTCGTTGTGCGTGACAATTTATTTTCGTGAAAATTTTTTTCCAATTTTCCACTTTTAGGATTTTTTTCCCCATATTTAATTTAAAATACCAATGTGAAAAATGAAACTCTTACTCAAGAAAAACAGAAATTAATAATAAAATTAAACCGATGCCACGCATATAAAGGATTTATAGTGAAAACTTTGTTTTTACGGGTAATTTTTTTATAAAATCCTTTATATTAAGTTCGCTTGCTTGCTTGCGTGCTTGCTTGCTTTACGACCGTGCAAATCTTTTGGTCGTTTTTAACCACTTCCCGTGATCCAATCGAGCTGACATTTTGCACACAGACTCGTTGTGCGTGACAAGTTATTTTCGTGACTACCTCGCCAGGTATACAGGACGTCGTGGGTTCGATCCCAACCCTGACGCCTGTTGCTGTATATTTGGAGTTTGTGGTCTTCTCTCTCTCATCATCATCACGGTGGCTGGGAGATGTTAACTATCTCGCCTGGTATACAGGAGGTTGTGGGTACGATCCCAACGTTGACGCCTGCTGCTGTATATTTGGAGTTTGAGTGTCTCTCTATCATCATCACGGTCTGGGAGATGTTAACTACCTCGCCTGGTATACAGGAGGTCGTGGGTACGATCCCAACTTTGACGCCTGCTGCTGTATATTTGGAGTTGGCGTGTCTCTCTTTCTCTCATCATCATCACGGTGGCTAGGAGTGTTAACTACCTCGCCTGGTATACAGGAGGTTGTGGGTTCGATCCCAACCCTGACGCCAGCTGCTGTATATTTGGAGTTTGCGTGTCTCTCTCTCCCTCACACCTGCTCACATATCAACAAAAATCACTTCACACTTTTTAAGTTTGCCAATGTTTAGGAGACGATTGTGCAACTTGGTGGCATGCAAAGTGTGTGGGCGTGTATGCTCTGCCTTCGTACCTTTTTAATATTTGCTGAGATTTGTTTGGGAGGTGGAGGGGGGGGTGGAGGGGGGTGGGGGTAAGATTTGCATAGAATTTGCGGGCTAATCCTCGGCGGATTACACACAGGCGTAGCCTCCGGGGGGGGGGGGGGGGCGGTGAGTGGGTGGGGGCAATGGCGGAGCCAGGGGGGGGGGTGGCACGTGCCCCCCCAATGATCCGATCAAAATCCCTGATTTCGATCGTATCATTGGAGTTTATTAGTAATAAATCGGCATTTTGCGACCCCCACTGCCACTGTGTAGCATATTAGTACGTGCCAGGGACTCAATGAGATGATAGGACAATAGTCTGAGTCCATAACTGGCAATAAGTAACGGCAAAGCAGTTATAAGCGACTCACAGAATTGTGCGCAGTTGCGTGTAGACAGTCCACACGACTTCCCTGAAGGCATCATTCACCTGCAGCGAGCGCGATGCCGATCACACAGCGCGGTTCGAATTCGACCCTCGATCGATAGCTGCGCCATCGCCGCAAACGCGTCGAATACAAAGCAAGGGACAAGTCCTTGCTCACTAACAACTCCTTACTTACTAAAACTCCTTACTTACTAACCACTCCTTACTAACAAGATCTTACTTACTAAAACTCCTTACTAACAAGGTCTTACTTACTAACCACTCCTTACTAACAAGGTCTAACTCACTAACCACTCCTTACTAACAAGGTCTTACTTAACAACTCCTTACTTACTAACTCCTTACTTACTAACAAGTCCTTACTTACTAACAACCCCTTACTAACAATGCCTTACTTACTAACAACTCCTTACTCACTAACAACTCCTTACTTACTAACAACTCCTTACTAACAAGTCCTTACTTAACAACTCCTTACTAATACTGCCTTACTTACTAACAACTCCTTACTCACTAACAACTCCTTACTTACTAACAACTCCTTACTAACAAGGTCTTACTTACTAACAACTCCTTGCTAAGAACTCCTTACTTACTAACAGCTCCTTACTAACAACTCCTTACTTACTAAAACTCCTTACTTACTAACAACTCCTTACTAACAACTCCTTACTCACTAACAACTCCTCTATCAAATTTCATTGCTGTAGGGGTTGCCCCCCCCTCTACCTGAACATCCTGGCTCCACCATTGGGTGGGTGGGGGGGTGACTCGGGACGACCCCCCCCCCCTCCACGGTTGTTTGAATCTCAGCGCCTCTCGCATGAGCGTGGAAAGCTGCCACCCTCACGCTGCCGAAAACGCGACCGGATTTTGGGCCTCCCCTATCACATCGCTCACTTTGATTTCGTTGTTTTTCCTTCGTCCACCGCACAACCCGAGTTCCCCGAGCCGAATGGTGTTTTGTTTTTTTAGAGGGCACCACGGTGGCTAGATGTTAACTACCTCGCCTGGTGTACAGGAGGTCGTGGGTTCCATCCCAACCCTGGCGCCTGCTGCTGTATATTGGAGTTTGCGTGTCTCTCTCTCTCATTCATTATCACGATAGCTAGGAGATGTTAACTACCTCGCCTGGTATACAGGAGGTCGTGGGTTCCATCCCGACCCTGACACCTGCTGCTGTATATTTGGAGTTTGCGTGTTCTCTCTCTCATCATCATCACGGTGGCTAGGAGATGTTAACTACCTCGCCTGGTATACAGGAGGTCGTGGGTTCCATCCTGACCCTGACACCTGCTGCTGTATATTTGAAGTGTGCGTGTCTTTCTCTTATCATCATCACGGTGGCTAGGAGATGTTAACTACCTCGCCTTGTATACAGGATGTCGTGGGTTCCATCCGACCCCTGACGCCTGCTGTGTATTTGAAGTTTGCGTGTCTCTCTCTCATCATCATCACGGTGGCCAGGAGATGTTAACTACCTCGCCTTGTATACAGGATGTCGTGGGTTCCATCCGACCCCTGACGCCTGCTGTGTATTTGAAGTTTGCGGTCTCTCTCTCTCATCATCATCACGGTGGCCAGGAGATGTTAACTACCTCGCCTGGTATACAAGAGGTCGTAGGTTCGATCCCGACCCTGACGCCTGCTGCTGTATATTTGGAGTTTGCGTTTGCGACCCTGGTGCGGCCGGGTACGGCTAGGCCGTGAGTCACTGGTGAGTCACCGTTTGTCACTCATTTCCCAACGTCTTGTCTCTTCTCACAATTCAAGTTCCTAGAATCAACCCACCCGCGCCTGCAACATAGCTTCATCCCAGAGGTCGCAATCAGGTACCCGATACCCGTACCGTACCCGGCCGGGTAGGGTACAGGTACGGCCGGGTACGGGTACGGGTACCCGTTTGCGACCCTGGTGCGGCCGGGTACGGGTACGGGTAGGCCGTGAGTCACTGGTGAGTAACCGTTTGTCACTCATTTCGGGTAGGGTACGGGTAGCGTACGGGTATCCGTACCCGGCCAGGTACGGGTACCCGTTTGCGACCCTGGTGCGGGTACGGGTACGGGTAAGGAATCAAAACCCGTTTGCGACCTCTGGTCAGCTCCCACCCAGAATCGAACGCGTGTAGGCCATGTTCACGGGAAGGTTTATTGATTGACACCCAACGACTCGCGTAGAAAAAGCCACGAGACCCCCCCAACCCCAGAAAAAGCGTCAAACACGGAGCGCCGTGTGTGCACACGCACAGAGATCGAGTGAGAGAGTAGAGAGATACAGAGGTGGTAGAGAGAGATAGAGAGAGATAGAGCGATAGATAATAACACTGGTCAACAACAACAACAAAAACATTTTTTTTCTGGCCTGGACTTTTGCAGCTGTTCTAGACTAATTTCAAGGTGCCAATTCCAAATCTGATCTCAGATTTGCTCTATCACATCTCATTTTTATGCTATCGGCATACCCCATTTTCATTGATTTTACCCGAAATTAACTCTGTCACTTATGATTGCAAGTTGTTGCGAGTCAGTGACTGCTTTAGTGTTAAAATATGGTGCTGTATTTTTAGGATAGTGTTTTTATAATATTTTATGTAGTAAATATGGTGCTGTATTTTTAGGATAGTGTGTTTATAATATCATTTTATGTAGATAAATATGGTGCTGTATATTTAGGATAGTGTGTTTATAATATCATTTTATGTAGATAAATATGGTGCTGTATTTTTAGGATAGTGTGTTTATAATATCATTTTATGTAGATATCCGTATTTAAATTTTTCTTCTGCAGTTTTTATTGAAAAGGCAATATTTGATATCTCAAAAACCTGATGTGATAGAAAAAAACTGATACCAGATTTGGAATCAGCACCCCAAAATAACCTTAAAACCGTTGTAATACCTTATGCCAGAAAAAGTGTGTTGACCAGATTTGGAATCAGCACCCCAAAATTACCTTAAAATCGTCGGAATACCTTATGCCAGAAAAAGTGTGTTGACCAGTGTAGTATTTGCGTTTATATTATAGTTTGGATTCATCGTCGTGGTCAGTCTTAGCCATGGTCTAGCCACCGTTGGATGAGGGCCTCTACTCTCCGCCTGGTACATTTCACTAAAAGTCGATTCGAATTCTCTATTTTGATATTTCGACGCGGGGTTTAAAGCCGCGCGGTTTTTGTTAAACGGAGTTTTTATTTTATGTTTAAAGAGGCAAAAGGCGCATCCCTGCAAAGTGCTCGTATCAACGCCCACTGCTGCCAGCGGAAGAACGCCTCCTCCGCTCGAGAGGAGCTTTGGCCTACTCTTCCGCGTCGACCACGGCATCTAGTGGAGATAGGAGACGAGAGGAGAGAGGGGGAGGGTGGGAAGGCCCCCCTCATCCCACGGTGGCTTGCTGATTGCCGGTCCGGTCTTCGAAGGAGCTCAGTAGATTTTGTCGGCGCACTGGCAGGAGGCGGGGCAGGAGGCGCGCACGATGCGGCCGTACAGCGTGTCGCCGCAGCCCAGCGTGCTCTTCATGAGCGCGCAGTTGGAGTAGGAGTCGGTGAAGGGGCACGCGTTGGCTGCGTCACAGAGAAGGGGCAAGCGACGGACGCGTCTGAGGGTGAGCCCCCGGGGGGCGGGGCTTAGAAGCAGGAGGACAAAAAATTCACGCGGAGAGACCTCGGTTGATGCGGTAGTGGTGGTAGTGGAGTTGGTAGTAGTGGCGGTAGTAGTGGTAATAGTGGTGGTGGTGGTAGTGGTAGTAGTGGTGGTGGAAGTGGTAGTAGTGGTGGTGGTAGTGGTAGTAGTGGCAGTAGTAGTGGTAGTAGTGGTGGTGGTAGTAGTGGTGGTGATGGTAGTAGTGGTGGTGGTAGTGGTGGTAGTAGTGGTGGTAGTGATGGTGGTAGTAGTGGTGGTGGTAGTTAGTAGTGATAGTAGTGGTGGGAGTAGGTAGTGGTGCGTGAGTGAGTGAGTGAGTGAGCGCGTGAGTGAGTGAGTGAATGAGCGCGTGAGTGTATGAGTGAGTGAGTGAGCACGTGAGTGAGTGCGTGAGTGAGTGGGTGAGTGCGTGAGCGTGTGAGTGAGCGCGTGAGTGAGTGCGCGAGTGAGCGCGTGAGTGAGTGAATGAGCGTGTGAGTGTATGAGTGAGTGAGCGCGTGAGTGAGTGCGTGAGTGAGTCAATGAGCGTGTGCGTGTATGAGTGAGCGCGTGAGTGTATGAGTGGGTGTGAGTGAGCGCGTGAGTGCGTGAGTGAGTCAATGAGCGTGTGCGTGTATGAGTGAGTGCGTGAGCATGTGAGTGAGCGCGTGAGTGAGTGCGCGAGTGAGTGCGTGAGTGTATGAGTGGGTGAGTGAGTGAGCGAGTGAGTGTAAGGCAGGAGGGAGGGCTCACTGCACAGCTTGTTGGTGCAGTTCTTGGGGCAGGACTTGCACGCCGGGCCGCTGTCGTAGGGGCGCGTGAGTCGAGTGTTCAGGTTGCCGCTGCGGGGGATGCAACACGGGGGGGGGGGCGGATCGCCGTCAACATCACTGCATAGCCGCCGTAGCAATCAATCTCATCGCAAAGTATTTCTATACGGGGACTCCTCTACTTACGAACGAATCAGCTTCCAAAAGGTCTGTTCATAAGTCAGTTGAACACGTGTGAGGCTTTCGCGACCAATATTATTCATAATCAACGTTTTTGGGTTTAGATCGCGTTATTTATAAATGTGTCGTAACCCTCCACCAACCGACACGACCAATCAGTGAAAAAGTGTCACGTTGACAAAAGACAAATAGTTCACTGCTTTAGCCCACCGGTGTGTTGAAGCGTGAAACCACAACATTTACAATTTTTGAGTACGACGTTTCGCTGGTAATTGCATCCAGCATCATCGGGCAATTCGCCAGAATGGTGAGGCTCTGCTCTGTCCATACTTTACTCCTGTCGATTTCAAACGCGTTGTACGGCGTGTACACTAGACACGGGGAATGGCTTTAAAAGTGTTTAATCTCCTTTAGATGTAGATGTCACTGGTTCATCACGTTCTGCAGATGTAGATGCCACTGGTTCATAACGTTATGCAGATGTAGATGCCACTGGTTCTTCACGTTCTGCAGATGTAGATGCCACTGGTTCATAACGTTATGCAGATGTAGATGCCACTGGTTCTTCACGTTCTGCAGATGTAGATGCCACTGGTTCATAACGTTCTGCAGATGTAGATGCCACCGGTTCTTCACGTTCTGCAGATGTAGATGCCACTAGTTCTTCACGTTCTGCAGATGTAGATGCCACTAGTTCATAACGTTATGCAGATGTAGATGCCACTGGTTCATCACGTTCTGCAGATGTAGATGCCACTAGTTCTTCACGTTCTGCAGATGTAGATGCCACTGGTTCATCACGTTCTGCAGATGTAGATGCCACTAGTTCTTCACGTTCTGCAGATGTAGATGCCACTAGTTCATAACGTTATGCAGATGTAGATGCCACTGGTTCATCACGTTCTGCAGATGTAGATGCCACTAGTTCATAACGTTCTGCAGATGTAGATGCCACTAGTTCTTCACGTTCTGCGATGTAGATGCCACTGGTTATTCACGTTCTGCAGATGTAGATGTTACTGGTTCTTCACGTTCTGCAGATGTAGATGCCACTAGTTCTTCATGTTCTGCAGATGTAGATGCCACTAGTTCTTCACGTTCTGCAGATGTAGATGCCACTAGTTCTTCACGTTCTGCAGATGTAGATGCCACTGGTTCTTCACGTTCTGCAGATGTAGATGCCACTGGTTCTTCACGTTCTGCAGATGTAGATGCCACTGGTTCTTCGCGTTCTGCAGATGTAGACGCCACTGGTTCTTCGCGTTCTGCAGATGTAGATGCCACTGGTTCTTCACGTTCTGCAGATGTAGATGCCATTGGATCTTCACGTTCTGCAGATGTAGATGCCACTGGTTCTTCACGTTCTGCAGATGTAGATGCCACTGGTTCTTCATGTTCAGCAGATGTAGATGCCACTGGTTCTTCACGTTCTGCAGATGTAGATGCCACTGGATCTTCACGTTCTGCAGATGTAGATGCCACTGGTTCTTCACGTTCTGTAGATGTAGATGCCACTGGTTCTTCACGTTCTGCAGATGTAGATGCCACTAGTTCTTCACGTTCTGCAGATGTAGATGCCACTGGTTCTTCACGTTCTGTAGATGTAGATGCCACTGGTTCTTCACGTTCTGTAGATGTAGATGCCACTGGTTCTTCACGTTCTGCAGATGTAGATGCCACTGGTTCTTCGCGTTCTGCAGATGTAGATGCCACTGATTCTTCGCGTTCTGCAGATATAGATGCCACTGGTTCTTCACGTTCTGCAGATGTAGATGCCACTAGTTCTTCACGTTCAGCAGATGTAGATGCCACTAGTTCTTCACGTTCTGCAAATGTAGATGCCACTGGTTCTTCACGTTCTGTAGATGTAGATGCCACTGGTTCTTCACGTTCTGCAGATGTAGATGCCACTGGTTCTTCGCGTTCTGCAGATGTAGATGCCACTGGTTCTTCACGTTCTGCAGATGTAGATGCCACTAGTTCTTCACGTTCTGCAGATGTAGATGCCACTGGTTCTTCGCGTTCTGCAGATGTAGATGCCACTGGTTCTTCACGTTCTGCAGATGTAGATGCCACTGGCTCTTCACGTTCTGCAGATGTAGATGCCATCACCGCCATAGATTACGTGGCAGTTGAACTTACGACTCTCGGTCCGAACAGGCAACTGGACATACGGACCGGGTGTGTTCGTATCTCTGAAAGTGCGTAAGTCGAATTGTTCGTAAGTAGACGAGTCCCTGTACGTTGCATCGCCTCATTGCAAGGCGCTGCTGTACAACAACAATCGTAACATTGCACGACCGATGATAGTGGTCGAGATAGAGAGAGTGTGGGAGGGCGGGGGGAGTTGGGGTTGGGGTTGGGGGGGTACAGCCCCCCAGCTCCCCCAGCGTTGTAATAGTCTCACGCTGGGCAGTAGTGGCACACGTAAAGGTACTTGGCAGAGGCCTCGCAGTAGTTGACGGCGCAGCCAACTTGGTAGGAGCTGTACCACACCACCTGCACGCACGCACGTGGCACGGGGCAGCGACGGGTTAAAGCGCAGCACCTGCAAGTGCACCGCTCGCTCGCACCAAACTGCTGGGGTGGTGGTGGTGGTGGGCGGTGGGAGATCGAGAGAGCGCCCCCCCCCCCACCACTACTACAACTACCTCCCACCACCCACTACCACCCACTACCACCACTACCACCACCACCCACCACCACCACCACCCACTACCACCCCACCCCCCATCACCACCACCTCCCACCACCAGAGGGTGCGGCGATTTGATGGGTTGTGCTGCACTTGTGGTGGTGGTGTTAGTTGTGGTGGTAGTGGTGGTAGTTGTGGTGGTGTTGTGGTGGTGGTGGTGTTATTTGTGGTGGTGGTGGTGGTGGTGGTGATAGTTGTGGTGGTGTTAGTTATGGTGGTGTTAGTTGTGGTGGGGTGGTAGTTGTGGTGGTGTTAGTTGTGGTGGTGGTGGTGGTGTTAGTTGTGGTGGTGGTTTTAGTTATGGTGGTGTTATTTGTGGTGGTGGTGGTGTTAGTTGTGGTGGTATTAGTTGTGGTTGTGGTGTTAGTTGTGGTGGTGTTATTTGTGGTGGTGGTGGTGTTAGTTGTGGTGGTGGTGATATTAGTTGTGGTGGTGGTGTTAGTTGTGGTGGTATTAGTTGTGGTGGTGGTGTTAGTTGTGGTGGTATTAGTTGTGGTGGTGGTGTTAGTTGTGGTGGTGTTATTTGTGGTGGTGGTGGTGTTAGTTGTGGTGGTGGTGATATTAGTTGTGGTGGTGGTGTTAGTTGTGGTGGTGTTAGTTGTGGTGGTGGTGGTGTTAGTTGTGGTGGTGGTGATATTAGTTGTGGTGTTAGTTGTGGTGGTGTTAGTTGTGGTGATGTTAGTTGTGGTGGTGTTAGTTGTGGTGGTGGTGTTAGTTGTGGTGGTGGTGTTAGTTGTGGTGGTGTTAGTTGTGGTGGTGGTGTTAGTTGTGGTGGTGTTAATTGTGGTGTTAGTTGTGGTGGTGTTAGTTGTGGTGGTGGTGGTGGTGTTATTTGTGGTGGTGGTGGTGTTAGTTGTGGTGGTGGTGGTGGTTTTTGTGTTGGTGGTGGTGTTAGTTGTGGTGGTGTGGGGAGCGGTAGTGTAGCGGTTAGCGCGCTGCGCTACAAACCCGGCCACCCGAGTTCAATTCCCACTCGCGGCCAACACCCAGTGACGATTTATCTGAACCGGTCGTGGGCCTCCCCTAGGTCGACTCAGCCTCAAACGAGTACGTGGGTGGCGGTGTGTAAACATCGCCACTGGGGAGACTTCGCATGGCCGCACACACCCAGGCAGCACACCACGTCCAGTATACAACTCGCTATGGACTGTGGCTACTGCCGGTCACGTGCCGACTTCTCCCAGTCTACCCAGAAAGCATCACCACACACACCACGCAGCATACACACACACACCACACACACCACACACACCACACACCACCACACACACCACACACACCCCACACACACCACACACACCACACCACACCACACACACCACACACACCACACCACACACACCACACACACACACCACACACACCACACACACCACACACACCACACCACCCACACACCACACCACACCACCACACAAACACCCACACCACACACACCACACCACCACACACACCACCACACACACCACACCACACACACACCACACCACACACCCCACCACACCACCACACACACCCACCACACACACCAACACACCACGCAGCATACCGCACAGCACACACACACACACACACCACGCAGCACACTACGTACACCACGCAGCACACCACTCCGCACCTGAGTGTAGTGGCCGATCATGCCATGATCCCCCAGTCTACCCAGAAAGCATCACCACACACACACCACGCAGCATACCACGCAGCATACCGCACAGCATACCACACAACACCCACACACCACACACCACACACACCACACACACCACACACACCACACACACCACACACACACCACACACACCACACACACCACACACACCACACACACACCACGCAGCACACCGCGTTCCGCACCTGAGTGTAGTGGCCGATCATGCCGGGCCCCTTGGCTCCCTTGCCGAACTCGAAGCCGGGGCTGACCACCTCGCTGTGCCAGTCGCGCACCGCGTAGTCCCAGGTGAAGGGCGCGCTCGAGATGAACAGGTTCTCGCCGCAGGTGAACGCTGGTGCGGGGGGTGGTGGGGGGGTGAGGGTGTGGTGGTGGTGGTGGTGGTGTGGGTGGTGTGGAGTAGGGTGGTGGTGGGTGGTGGTGGGGAGTAGGGGTGGTGGTGGGTGGGTGGGTGGGTGGAGGGGGTGGTGGTGGTGTGGTGGTGGGTGTGGGAGTGGTGGTGGGTGGGTGGTAGGGAGTGGGGGTGGTGGTGGTGGTGGTGGGTGGTGGGTGGGTGGGTGGTGGGGGGTGGTGGTGGGTGGTGGTGGTGGGGAGTGGGGGTGGGGGGGTGTGGGTGGTGGTAGGTGATGGGTGGTGGGGAGGTGGGGTGGTGTGGTGTGGTGGTGGTAGTGGGTGGGAGGTGGTGGGGAGGTGGGGTGGTGTGGTGGGGGGTGGTGGAGGGTTTCGACGCATTTATACTTACGCGATCTAACCCAAAAACCTTATTTATGAACCTATTCTTATTAATTCATCATTTTTTAATACTGGAAAAAAAGATCCCCTAGATGTAACTGCTCCACCAGATGTATAAATACACTGATACTTGCGTTGACTTTGAACTGTTCGCCCATTGGTGTTGTTCTGTGGTCTAACACCGGCGGTGAGACAATGCCATCAACAAGGCTTTCTGCCTCTGAGTGGAGGCCAATCAGTTTCAAAGACAATGCAAACATTCTATTATACTGGTAGGAACCTCCTGGTTACACCAGCCCACAGGGGATTATTGTGTCCGTCCGTCGTGCATCCAAAAATGGGAGGGGAGGGGCTGGGTGGGGGTAGGAGGGGTGGGGCTGGGTGGGGAGGGGTTGGTCACCCCGTGGTGTCCTTATAAAACTCAACGTTTAACCTACTCACGCCGGCTTGTGCCCGCCCTCACAGTGGGGCATATTTGCGGAATACACCACGCCGCCGTTGACCCTGGCTATTGACCGAGCAGCCCAACGTTCCTACCAGC